CATATAAAGAATTCAAACATTAACACTGGCAAGATCAAATCATCTCTTGAAGACTGACTAACCTGGTGAAAAAAGTAAAATGACTCAGCTGTCTGCAATTAGAGGATAATGATGCAATCTGTGTCCATCCGAATTCCCCCAAAGTAAATTTATATTTTCTTTTTATCTTCAGATACAGCGAGAGGGAGAGAGGTAGAAAGAAAGAGAGAGAAACATCGATGCAAGAGAGACACGCCGACTGGTCACCACCCACACGACCCCAACAGGGGCCGGGGACAAACTGCAGCAGATGTACGTGCCCTTAGTGGGAACCGAACCTGGGACTCTCTGGTCTGCGGGCCGATGCTCCAACCGCTGAGCCAAACTGGCCAGAGCAATTTATATTTTCTTAAAAGTCAAATTACATTTTTGTATCCAGAGTTGATTCCTGTGTGTCGTTCATTTTAATATAAGGCTATTAAAATCATATGATTAGCCACATTCTAATTAGGCATCAAAATTCCTACACAGTGAAAGAAATTAGGCATTCAGAACCCCTGACTTCATTTGATTTAAAGACTGGTGAGCATTAATCCTTAATGACCAACACAAACATCATTCCTCCATAAATGAGTAATAGTCACCATTGTATCTCCTGAGGAAAACAAGGTGTTGGGATTAGTCTCAGAACCAGTTTAAGATACTTTGTTTTATGAACATTCTTTTAGTTCACTAAGTAAAAATCTGCTCACAACATAAGTGAAGTGAAATCTACCTAATTAAGGTCACATGATACAAATTATCAGTCTCTTCCATTTTCTAGTTTATTTCCCCAATAAATCACATCAGGATTAAATAAATATTACACAGAGCTATTTGAAAAACTTGCTATCTATAAAGTGTCCACTGGTTTTTATATATTGCTGTCCTCCATCTAGTGGCAATCAAGGACTTTGGCCAACTTTACCCATACTGGTAATAGAGTTAGGGTGATTACATGTTTAGTCCTTTTTTTGATCAAAAGCATGTATTTCACAGGGCAAGGGTGTAGGCCATGTCTTTAACAAAACAAATCGGCTTACACAGAAATAAACTCTAACTTTAACCTTATTTATGCTCTGAACTGAAAAGATTTTTTAAAATTTTAGTAAAATTCCAAGTATTTAAACAAGATAAAGTCAAAGTAACTATTTTTATTTTAAATTTGCAGTTCCTAAGGAAATATTTTATTTCTAATAATAAGTGAAATCTTATCATCAGACAACTCTTGGGATAGTTAGATTGTAAATTCCTTTAGGGCAAGGATCCCAATTTATCATACCTAATTGTGCTCACTAAATTTATTTTCATCAATTGCACAGAACCTAATATTTACAAGGTAACCTACTAACTTTTATTTATGTTCATTATCTCTCAAGTGATCCTATAAAATTTAGAACTTTAAGGTCCTAAAGAAAAGCAAGCTCTTTTTTAAAACTACAGCTTTTAGCTTCTCATCGTCTCTGTAACTAGCACAAAGCCATACTTTTCATAAGTTATACTGCATACAGTTCAAATCAGCAAACATTTTTGAGGGCATACTCTGTGTTTAGCATATTACTAGTGTTATACAGGATTAATAAAAGTCATTTTTTCCTCAAGAAGTTTATGTGTCAAAAATCAAACCTGGTGAGTGAAAGTTAAGAAATAATACAAAAGCAACATATAATACAATGCTAAAGTGAGTTACATATATTAAATGCCAAACTCATGAGAAATTTTATAAATCTGATCAATTTATTTATAAAATTCATAAATATCCTAGAGACTATACAGTTTTTCTGAATTTCTGCTTATATAGTTATTAGGAAATCTATTCTGTAATGTCAATTGGAATGAAAATGAAAGCAATTTCTTCCATAATATATAGAATTTTTTAAAATGTCACAAAGAACCCAACACACTTTCTTCTAACAACTTTCTATATTAGAACTACTTATCTTCATCTTTCTAATTTGTGGCTGTCTTATCTCCATTTAACAGAAGAAATCTTCTTGTCTTTTTATTTAACAGAATACACATCAACGGTTTGGGTATAATTTAAAATGTCCAGATTAGCCCTGGCCGGTTTGGCTCAGCGGTTAGAGCATCAGCCTGCGGTCCCGAGAGACCCGGGTTCGGTTCCCGCTAAGGGCATGTACCTTGGTTGCAGTTTGTCCCCGGCCCTGGTCGGTTGTGCGGGTGGCAGCCACTCGATGTGTCCCTTTCACGTCGATGTTTCTCTCTCTCTCTCTCTCTCTTCCTCTCTCTCCCTCCCACTCTACCTGAACAACAACAACAAAAAATAAAATAAAATAAAATGTCCAGATTATGTAAGTGAGGTTTATATAAGAGAGGTTTAAATGGAATAAAAAATATTCTATTTTTTTTCTGATAAAAAACCTAAATTGTCTAATCTATCCTTCATGATGTACACAAAAATATATAAGCACAAAAGAATGAGTGTTTTAAAATCTTTGGAACTGTCTTATGAATAACTATATAGTAGTTATACACAATAATTACCTATATTGAAAGACTATATGCTACACATGCATCACTGATTTAGATTTTTTGTGGAATGCACAAAATAACTGAATTAATTCTATGTATTGTTTCATGACATTCATTCACATTGTGCCACTTGTATATTTTTAAAAACAACAACAAAAAACAGAAAAAACTTCAAAAGGTTATTAACAAATAGATAAATTTATGGAAATATTTTTAGTATATATAGCAACATGTAAAGCTTACTTCCTTTAGCAATGTGTGCATTATACTCTATATTGTTTTGGTTCAAAGATGAAATAAATGGAGCTATTTTTTAAGTGGTTTTTCCTGAATATGTGTTATAAATACTGTGAAGCAAAGTATGTTTTTATAGGTCTTAAGTTCATGAACAATATATTTCTCGGATCACAGCCCAAAAGAAAAACATTGCTATTCACTGGGGAATAATATTTAATGGCCAACAAAAAAAAAAAAAAAATCAGGGATGGAGAGAATGAAGAAGGAAAGAAGAATAAACAAAATGATGATGGAAAATATGTAGAAAGTTCATGAGAAATTGGAAAAAATATATTGCAACAAAAACTATATTTGTGACATAGCTTCTGATATTTACAGTAAAAATTTCTTTGATTTGCTGAAAATTTTCTAATGTAGTCATCACCACATGTTAAATATATTAAATGACATTTAGAATAATAAGGCCACAGGTCTTATTTGGCCACAATTGAAAACTGATTTATTTTTCCTCCAATCTGAAAGCAGTCTAAAGTGGCCATACCTATTAAAATGTCTTATTCAGGGGAATTTATTACAGAAATTTAAACACTCTAAATCTACCTCAATAATTACTTAATGTTATAGCCTCAATTCCAGATCTTCAAGAAAAGAATTATTTGCTCTGAAAAGTTTAGGCATACATGTACCAGAAAGCAGTAGCTGAATCAAGTAAGCTCTGTAATTTGATATAAAACTAGAAAGTAATGATATCAACAAAAAAAGGACCCAGTGTGAAAATATTAACCAAATGGTTGAGTTTCAAAGACACTACATTCTGGGTATCTTAAAGAATCCCAATAATACGTTAAATTCTTTGGATCCTCAATTAAAGTGAGAAACTCATTTCCAAGCATATGTGCTCAAGTACCTTAGCCTCTTCATGCCTGCTTGCCTGTCCCACAGTCAGAGAAGGCAGGATATTTGGTTAAGCATATGTTTATGAATAAAGACAAGAAAACTCCAACTTTAAAACCAAATATTTTCCTTGTTTAATTCTGGTATCTTATTGGTCCATATGCTGCCTCCTCCTCACAGTATGGTACCCTCCTCACAGCATGCTACCAAAAACCTACAAGATTTTTACTTTCTTTTAAAGTGTAAGGAGCATCAAGCAGACCGAAATGAGGAGTGAAAGTACTGTATGAGAAAGAGGAGCAAAACTGATGATGATCAAAATACATACTGACACACTTGCTGAAGACATTAGGTGCTCCACAATGCTTACTGAAATGCTGTTTTGTGACATTTGTTATGATAAATTTATCATTCTCTAATTTAAGAATCCTCATGAGTTAACCACAACCAGTTCAGTATAATTTAATGTAAAACATCTGGTGGCAGTTTTAAATGCCTACGGAGAGCATTTTACAAACTAAGCCTGCCTCCACAGCACTGCATAGCAGAAAATGAGGCAAACAGAGAAGCAGAGATGAGTATCAGGCGAGTCCTGATATATCACTTGATTACATTGATTTAGTCTTGCCTGAGACCAGCCCCACTTTTCAGTCCTCTACAAAGAACCCAGATGTGCCCTGACCGATTTGGCTCAGGGGTTGGCGCGTTGGCCTGCGGACCAGAGAGTCCTGGGTTCGGTTCCTGCTAGGGTCACAAAAAAAAACAACAACCCAGACGTTCCTTTTTTCTTTTTGGGTTAAGCTAGCTGTATTTCAGTTTCTGTAATTTGCAACCAAGAAAATACTAACATTGAGTGCCTGTCCAATGCAAAAAAAATTTTTGTTTCTGCCTCCATATGTTCATCTGTAAATATCAAAGTCCCATCATTGTCCAATTATATTAATTGAATATGTAACCGTGATTATCAGAAAAAGAAACAATAAGTTTGGGAAATAACCTCAATCCTTCTTAGAGGTTCAAAATATAAACTATAAAGATTCTGAGAAGTTATACAGTAGAGAAATCTCTTTAACTTAGTTGAACTCACATTTACAAATCATATTGATCAGAGAATCCCTTCTTATAAAGTTATATCTTTTAGAACTACTACTGGTAGAGCACAGGTTGGAAAATGCTACTTGGAAACATGGCCATGATCCCTTGGGTCTAGCATCTGAAGAAAAATTGAAAACACTTTCGTTTAACTGCTTTAGCGTCTTAACTGCTTCCTAATATATTTAAAAATATACCAGGAGAAGATCACAGAACTCAAATTTGAATGTAAAAGTACTTCATCTTTTAGATTAAAACAAACTTACCTGCATTGAAATAAGAATGAAGTCAATTAGGCTCCCAATTCCGCAAAACCCTACAGTGCAAAACTTTAACAAACCTAGAAAAGAAAGTAAAATCATTTACAACCCGGAAAATCTATAAATATTAACAAACTTTTCCATTTCCCAATAAACCATTATATACACCACAAACTCTTTATATTAAAGAATATAAAATTAACACTTAAAAAATCAATCTTCACCTAAAAATATGAGAAAAGTTTAAAGGTTCCTCTACATAGAAAAGCCACAATAAAAATAAATATTAAGAACTGAAAGAAAAACTCGATGTAACCTTACAAAATTTTGTAAGAGAAAAAGCATAAGGAAATAAATCTTTAAATCTTGGTACATCAGAGTTAGAGAACAACTTTTAATACTAAAATTTTTATTTATTTATTTAGACTTAATACATTATGTCTAAATTTTAATATACATTTACAGTAGAAAGTCCAAATAAAGACTGACAAGGCACAGAAAAATAATCAGGAAAAAACACGGATGTTATAGTTAAATTTTCTTATTAGTAACCCAATTATCTTGAATTTATCCTATACTTCTTTCCTAAGCATCTCATGTTGATTAACTTTAGAATCAAAATAACAATTCTGTGCACTATATATACACCTCTGGTCTTGGTCCCAACCTTAGAGCTAAGGTACTAAAATAGACAATAAAAGAGTATAAACGAGATATATACAAGAACATGAAATTAGAAGAGGTAGATTAGGGGTCGGGGTGGAATGAGTAATCTCTCTTCTATATTTAAACTTGAGTTGCTTTCCAGACATCCCTTTTGAGACATGAAAATGGTATGAAGCAAGACTCTTTGTGAAAGGGCAGTGCTAAGTATCAACTACATATAGATGTCAGCTAAAATCACAAGAGTGGATGAGATCATCTCCTGCACACAATTTGGAAATACACAAAGAAGACTGAAATATGTAGGTACATTAAATGATTTTTCCCCTTCTTAGTATTACACATATAGCAGAATAATGTTGTAAGTACTAGAATAATAGATGTTGGAAGTAATTTTAAAACTATAAATTATAATAATTATATGAAATTACTTTTAGTTTTTTCTTCAAAACACTTAGGATATATTCCTAGAAGCGAGAGGATGGGGTCAAATGGCAGTTCCATCTTTTATTTTTCTGAGGAAACTCCACACTATTTTCCACAGTGGCTGCATTAGTCTGCATTCCCACCAGCAGTGCACTAGGGCTCCTTTTTCTCCACATCCTCGCCAGCACTTTTTTGTTGATTTATTGATGGTAGCCATTCTGGCAGGTATAAGACACCTCATTGTCATTCTAGGGATATATTCTAAGAATTCTGAAACACCAATCAGAATGAATATATGCATCCCTATGTTCATAGCAGTGTTATTTGCAATAGCTAAGATCTGGAAACACCCCAAGTGCCTATCAGCAGATAAGTGGATAAAAAGCTGTGGTACATTTACACAATAGAATACTATCCAGCTGTAAAACAGAAGGATCTACTACCCTTTGAGACAACATGAAAGGACCTGGAGATTATTATGCTAAGTGAAATAAGCCAGTTCAGAGAAAGACAAAATCACATAATCTCACTTTTATGTGAAATCTATTGAACAAAATAAACTCATGAATAAAATAAAGTCATGAATAGAATAGAATCAGAGGGATGGAAACATGGAACAGACTGACAAATCTCAGAGGAAAGGGAGCAGTGGGCAGGGCCGGAAGAGATTAACCAAAGAACTTGTAACTTATATGCATATATGCATTGTCTAGGGGGGCAATGAGGGGATATCTGTAATACTCTCAACAATAAAAATAATTTTTAAAAACTCTTATTATCTACCTAATATTTTATATTTGATTACTGTCTCATGGAAGCCGCATTAGGGAAGTGTCTTATTTTATTATTGATTTGCAAGAGAGAGAAACATCAATTTGTTGTTCCACTTGCTGATGCACTCATTGGTTGATTCTTGCATGTGCCCTGACCAGAGATCAAGCCCACAGTCTTGGTGTATCAGATGACAGTCTAACCAACTGAGCGACCGGCAAGGCTGGGAAGTGTCTTGCATCTGTTTTATTTACTCCTGTGTCTGTAGTACCTACAACATTGTTTGGTACATGGTAGAGGCTCAATATTTGTGGAATGCATGACTAAATTTTCTCAGCTTTTCTGTTTCCTAAAGACCCCTAACTTTTTATCCATCATCTTATATAACAATTCCTTTAATTATTTTTTCATCAGTTGCATTTTATTATTGTTGCTCCAAGAACTTATTCACTCAGTCAGTATACTCACTCATTGCATTTCTGAAATGCATCCCTCTTCACAGTGCATTTATAAATTTGGGAACATTTCCCTTCCTTCAATTTGTTTATTTAAAAAATACTAAGAATGGTCCAAAGAAAAGTTTGCTACTTTATGAAAACAATATAACCATGTCAGACAGAGCCTTTGCCCTTGTCATCCCTCCTTCCAACGGATGTCTTCTTGTAGCTCTTCTCATCTCTTAGTCTACTTAAGAGAAGCCTTCCTAATCTGCCCATCTAAAGTAGCATGCCACCGTGGCCGGTTTGGCTCAGCAGTCAGAATGTCGGCCCTGGTACCAGAGAGTCCCGGGTTGGGTTCCCGCTAAGAGCACGCACCTTGGTTGCAGTTTGTCCCCGGCCCCTGTTAGGGTTGTGTGGGTGGCAACCAGTCGATGTGTCTCTCTCACATTGATCTTTTTCTCTCTCTCTTCCTCCCTCTCTCCCTCCTGCTCTATCTGAAGATAAATACAAAAATATCCTCGGGTAAGGATAAAAAATAAATAAATAAAATAAAGTAGCATGCCATCCCCACCCCTACCCTCAGCCCAAGCACTCTATCACATCTCCCCTAGTTATTTCCCTCATGGTGCCCATAGGAAACCTGTATTGGCCTCATTCACTGGTTTGCTCATTCATTCTCTGTCTTCCATTGTCAGGTAAATTCCTAAAGACAGGGTCCTATCTGTCTTATGTGATTCCTTGAACAGTACCTACAGACAGTAAGAGTTTGATAAATGTTTGATGTATGACTATCAAAAAACAAGATACAATCTAAATGTCTAACAGGGAGAAAATATCTCAAAAATTTCAGGTACATCTAACAATAGGACAAAATACTAAGCAACTGTTTAAAACAATACTAAGCAACTGTTCTAAACAGAGAAAGATAATTAATTCGTTCAAATCTAGATATTCTGCTGCTAACTCCTTCTTAAAAGTGCTTCAAAATGAACTGAAGTTCCTGTTCAGACAAAATATTAGATAAGGGATTATGTGTATTAGGGACTTTAATAAATGTTACCTCCTCCTGGAAAACACATTTAAGAAACTGTAGAAAAGATCCAAATGATCCTTAAGCATTTCAGAAACCTGCAAGCTAATCTACAGTGACAGAAAGCAGAGGAGTGCTGGCTTGGGAAAGAGCAGGATAAAGAGGGCTAAGAGGCAGAGATTACAAATGAGCATCAGGAAACTTTTGGGAATGATAGATATGGTCATTATCTTGATTATGGTGACTGTTTCACAGGTGTATACATATGTCTAACTTATCAAACTGTACATTTTAAATGTACACTTTATTATATGTCATACCTCAATAAAGCTGTTTTAAAAGATTTAAAGAACTAAATTAGTGGTTTAAAAGAAAAACTTCAAAGTTTAAAATCATTACATTAATTTATATCCAGTCTCAGTCTAAAATGTGACATTAATTAACTATGATCCATCTATTTCTATAAATTTAAGATAAAGAATTACTTAACTAATGAAGTTGCTAATAATACTATAAGATAGGAAGAACACTAAGGATTAAAAAAGATAATGAGACAAAGTAAAAACTTAGGATAGTACAAGGTACATGGAAACCATTTGATAAACGTTAGCCCAGCTGCTGCGTATGCTATCACTGTTTCTATTACTACTACAATCATTATTAAAATCAAGAAATTTAGATAACATAAATCCACATTTTTCACAGTAGCATCATCTAACCTAGTCTCATCTCTTGCAAATTCCTTCTGCCTGGGTTACAGCCCAACAAACTAGCCGAAGTTCTCTTAATGTGCCCTGCTCTTGTGTCTCCTTCATCTATCTGCATTTATGTGCACTACACTGTTCTCTGCTTTGCCTCCTCTTCTCCCCACCACTATTTCCAATCATCCAGCTGACCCCCCAATAGTATTCTAAAATGTCTAAAAAGTCTTCTCTAATGCCCCCAGGATGAATTTAGTGCCATTCCTAGATTTTTTTTTTCAAATTTGACAACTTTAATGTTATTGTGTTATCCAAATGTTCATAGATGTACAATTCATACTTGCCTCTTCCCCCCAAAAACTTTCCTGTTTTAGACATTCTCAAGTAACAGAAGAATGGCATTTGAATTTTCTCCTTACAAAGAAACTTCATACAGAAATGACAATACTTTTTCATATCTGTTACCATGCAGGATGCCTGATGGGCTTCCCCCATGCCCTCCTACCAAAAAAGGTCAATAATGTGAGCTACTATGTGATGCACCAGGTACAGGGCACACCCTGTCTCGAAGATGCTGAAACCATTGTTCTCCTCCAGCACCTAGCTCACGATCGTTTAAACAGGTTCCTCTTTGGCTTCTCTAGCAAAATCCATGCCCTCCTCCATAACCACCTCATCCACTGCCATAGCAGTCATCAGAGTGACTGCTTCCACCATCAGTCAGGGAGGCACGCGTGCTGGTGCTGCTTCATGGGAGCTACCACATCTCTCCTATGACTGTCTGTAAGAGCCTCCATTCCGATATTCAAAATTATCTCTACAATGACTCCTGCCATAGCCATCATGATCACTGTGTCTTCTACATGAAAGCTCACCCGGGAACATGAAAAGCCATAATCAGGGTACACAAAGTCTGTAGGTAATGTGCTATAATGCTTTCTGTGTTGGGAATATGGATCATCTCTGCTTGAGTAACTCCAGACGTCCTAGGACGGATCCGAAAAGCTGGTAGTCAAATCGAAAGCCAATTTGAGGTGAAGAATATGGAG